GAATAATAGTGACAATAAAAAGGATTGGATATAATTAGTCCCCCCGGGGTAGATCTTTTCCTTTTATTATCTATGTTCTTTGCTATAAATTTTAATAATAAGATTAGCTATCCAATGCCAGTATAATGAGATTGCAATATTAATGCTTAGAATAGCTAAATGGTAAAATAAGGGAAATTTGGCAGAAAAAATATTACTAGTTATAGAAGATTTAACAACTTGAAAATGACAGAAATTATAAATATAGAGGTTGAAATATGTTTCTTAAACTCTAAAGTTCTGTTCAATATTTTTATTTTTATGAATATGAAATTCTTAGGCTTATTTTTCTAATCGTATGAATAATCTTAAATGTAAATACTGTGACAATAGTACAGCAGTTATGAGAATATATTTCTATAGAGGTACCAGCTATATTTTTCTATCTTCCTGTATGAGTGATTCTATTTTTAATTAAAAATTTAAGAAATTTATCCATGTCCCAGCATAAAGAAATAAAGCTCCCTAAACAGTCAAGATGCTTTGCTATCCTGAAATAGATGTTACTACTCTAGGAGTAGCTAGTTCTAAGCCTTGGGAGTTCTATCTTCTAGCTAAAAGCGGTAAAAGCAGCTACTTCTTTATTTGAATGAAATATGCCTGAATCCTATGCCAGAGGCAGGGCTCTTTTATTTTTTGTCCTAAAACAAATCAAAATATAAAAATACAGGGAAATGTTGCCTATTTTTCTTTCTTAACTAAAAATAGTATTTGTTCCAAGGTATAGAGAGAGCTGCCATTTTATTTTATATGGTTTATCTGCCTACCCCAACATAAAGGCTAATCTGATTTTTTTTTTTTTAAGCATGATTCTTAGGAATGTGTTTACATGAGTAAATCAACCAAACGGAACCCTATCATTCATTTATTGAGGGACAAGATAATGCCTTCCTGAATTATCTCATGTCCCAAAGCATCGTCATTAGGGCAAAAAAATGCTTGTGTTTATATAGACGCATGCGCAGGGTGTAACTGAGCTCACATAAACAGTGATGAGGTCAGAGCCTCCCTGGGCTCTGAGGACTCATTGTCCACAGGGGTGCTTGGCTCCCTAGTAGAAAGAGAGAAGGTCATGCTGGGGCCAGGGGACTCATGAGAGCCACGTACTGCTGTTTCATTATTGAAACAGGGAAATCAAAGGCCAGGAGCTGGGGGGTGGGGGGAGACTTAGGATATATTTCTGAATATATTTCCAGAGCAAATAAAGAAATACCGTATTAAACGAGCTCAGCGATTTCAAACACATTCACCATTTAATGATCCATTTTAATGGAAGATAAGGATGGATTTAAAACTAGAACCCACAAATATCACAAAAACCTAACTTAACTAATACATTCCATCGTTTTGCAGTAATCCTAAACAGATTGACAGCGAACTCCCTCTCTTGCTACTTCTCCCCCTACATCTGATGCATTAGCTAAAGCAGCGGAGTGTCAGAAACCAAGGCCAGTAATTGAGAGACTGAGCAAGCTCAATCTGGGTGGTTTTCTGCATAATGAAAACAGCTTATATTAGCATGACCCAAAAGACTATTTTCTGAGCTCAAAAGAAATAAAATTTCAGGCAAGGACACTCTTTTCTAGCCATCCAATTATTGCTTTCTGTTTTCAACTCAGTACGTTACTATGCAGAACCGTCTTTACTTTGGTCCACTTTAGATTTTTCTTGAAAGCATCACATTGTGATTAGGAGAAAGAGCTGTGGAGCCAGGGGTCACCTATTCTTGCTTTATCACTGACTAACTGTAACCAGCTGTGTGATCAGCTACATCGCCCTCAGCCTCCTGGGTGCCTTCCTCTGTGAAGTGAGGAGAACAGTTGTATCCCTGTGGTTGGGCCGATAAGAGATTTGATGAGTAACTATGCATGAAGCCCTGAAAACACTGTCTTATTCATCTAAGCAAGCAGTAAGTGTTGGGCTGTTTTGCTTAGAAGAAAGAGGATGCGCGAGTAATAGGCAAGGACTGAGGAGAACAAATCGATGCTCCTGGTATGGCCTGGGGACCGGCCGCAGAGCAGATGACTACAGACTGTGTGAAAGACAATGCTACCTGGTCTGCACAGATGAGAACACTGAGGTTGAGCTCATTTTGAAGACTATAGTTTGTTTTAAATTCAATGTTGACACTAAATAATCAGCCAGTAGGAATGTGTGCTGTCTTGGTGGCAGTGAAAGAAAAAAGGAGACCCAGAAGTTACTTCTCAGAAATTATCTCCCAATGCAATTGGATGCATTGATGCCAATGCCAATGTGCTATCTTTACATTCTGGTGCCTACGCTTGGTGGTGACACTCTCAGGGCAAAATGCCTTCTAGAAACATTCATGGGTAGCCAACTGCACAAATTAAAAAAGAAGTGGGGGAAATGTATGATGCAAAACAATCCTGATGTTTGGATTGAAGTATATATTTTCTTAGATGAACTCTTTAAAGAAGTCAGAATTTTCTTTTCTTCAAATCATTAAAACTTTTTCAAGGGAAAAAGAGTGAAATAGAGTAACTAAGAAAGCAAACTCAACCAGTCAGCTGCACAAATAAGGGTTAGGGACATGGGTAATGCAATTAGTTGCAACCTTTTCTGTCTCCAACCTTGAAAGTATAATTGCAGTAGTATTAAAAGGGGGGTTTTAGGTCATGGTGTTGAATAGTGAGCAACACGCAAGGACATGTAATACCTGATTGCACAATCCTGCATGTAAAATATTCATCCTCTTCTGTAAGAGTTGGGCTTCAATTTATAGCCTTTTAAAAATTACCTTTTAGAACTGGTATGTATGAAACTATCATCTTTTAAATAGCTGGATTGTCATTGTAGCTGGTCAATTGTTAGCTCTTTTATTCTGAAATTTTAAAAAGCCATTCTCTGATTTGTGGCTTCAACCAGATCTCACAGTACAGATGAAAATTGTAATGATGTACTGCCAAAAGCTACATTTCAAGCTTTGATAGCTGCCTTTTGGGGGATTATGGAGTGGTACATTTCTTCTAGAATCAAAGCAATAAATAACACAGGGTAGCATAGGTTTATTTTCTTTTTATTGTATTTATTTGTTTTCACAGTACAGAAATGTGGCCTTTGGCACACATAAAACAAGTCAGCACAGCGTCACCTCAGAGTCAAGTGCTGTATGCTGTGAGTCCGGGCAAGGGAAAGCACTGGGACCCAATCTGAGGCTCAGGGTTCTCACAGTCGAAGGGGCCAGTCAGAAATAGAAATCATTTAATAGACTGTGTTAAGGGCAATAGTAGGGATTTGCATAGTATTTCATGGGAGTGCAGAAAAGGGCACCATTTCTCGCTGGGATGTCAGGAAATTGGCCCTAAGTTAACCAAGCAAAAGAAGAAGGAGTAGAACATCCCATCAAGTATTGGAAACCCCTCTTCCTACCTACTAACTTGCATCATCTCTGCAGATAGATTCCGTACCTTCCAAGTGGCCAAAATTCTATTCCTGACATAAACTTCCATGGATGGTTATTTTTTTTTTTATTGAAGTAGAATTGATGTGTAACACTGTATGTGATTTAGAGACATAGGATCACACCTTCAGGTGTATGTTACCTCACCGCACCCTCCACATTCCTCCACCATAGCCCATTGTACCCTCTCCCCACTGTACCTCCCCCCTACCTACCCCTCCAGTAGCCTTAATTCTGCAATTAGTTTTCTCAAGTTTGTTATTGGTTTGGCTTTATCTGACCCTTTGTTATATTTCTCTATATTTTACATATAAGTGACACTATCTAATATTTGTCTTCTTCTGACTTATTTCATTTAGCATAATCCCCTCTAGTTCCATCCATGATGTCACACATGGCAAGAGTTTATCTTTTTTATTGTTGAGTAATATTCCATTGAGTATACATACTACATCTTGCTGATGCACTCATTTTTCTCTTGGCACTTAGGTTGTTTCCATAGCTTGGCTGTTGTAAAAGAGCTGCAATGAACATAAGAGTGAACATATCACTTCAATTTAATGTTTTGCATCTTTGAATAGACACCTAGGAGTGGAACTACTGGGTCATATGGTAGACCTATTTTTTAACATCTTGAGAAATCTCCATATGGTTTTCCACAGGGGCTGAACCTGTCTACATTACCAATGACAGTACCAGGACTCCCTTGTTTTTATCAGTTTAATAAAAAAGAAATGAGTATCTTCAGAATTCACTATAAAATCACATAACAGAATGCATGTAGCAGTGAAATTGTTGAAGACAACCTTTGCCCTATTTTTATTAAGATAAATGTCAGATCTATAAAAAATAAAATGGAACCAATTTAAAAAAAATCAGCACTTGAGGAGAAACTTAATTGTTGCTGGAAGAATTAGAATCTGATGGCTTAGATGGAATTTAATTAAATCTCAAAGTGAAATAACTATAGTTGTGCATCTACAGTTCTCCTACGAAAACATGTGTCTTTGAGCTTATCATTATTCCTTGGCCTACAAATTAGTCATGGTTAAGTTGCCTATTATTTTCTTTGCCATTTTGATTATTCTACTGTTATATGTTACTTATGATGGGATGATTTTTGTAGCATTACCACTGAGATAACCCATAAGACTATGCATAAATGTAATCTCATACATGCCCCTATATTTTTGGTTGGGAGAAGGAAACAACCTAACTTAAATCTGATGGTGCCAAAAATCAGCTCTCCTTCTATTGCAGAACGCTGCTATTTAAAAAGAAAATGTTGATTCAGGAGGACACCCATCCCATATGTTGAAAATGCTAAATGCTCTTCTTGTAGAAATGAAAAGTTGCCAAAGACCAAATGATGATCCACCAAGGAAGGAGTGGGAGAAACATTTAGGAGAGAGAATTGCAAAATGATGACTTGCAATGCTTTCCTCTCCAGGGAGGGATTCTTGGAAGCTGACCCAAAGCCACTGGGAGAAGCCATCGTTTGCATGAACCTGAAATGTGGTTTTCATTTTCGCCCCCACAGCCTCGTCATGTGTTCAACATGCTGAAGAAGTATGTCCGTGCTGAGCAGAAAGACAGACAGCACACCCTGAAGCATTTTGAACACGTCCGCATGGTGGACCCAAAGAAAGCCGCTCAGATCCGGTCCCAGGTAATCGCCTGCAGCCCTGACACTCCACATTCCTGCTCTTGGAGTGAGCTTCAGGGACCCCAGCAGCTCTGGGTGTTGTATTTGTGTAGCAAGAGCTCTTAAAAACAGCGCAAGTTCTGTTCATTAAACACCTGGCAAATTCGAAAGCCTTGCTCTCCAGCAACATGGGGTTTGATATTTTCTGAGTTTTGAAAATATTAAGGAACCTAATTGCCTACGTCTGCTGATTCATAAGGGACCATTTAAAACCCTGGTGATTAAAATGGAGAAAGCACAAGTTGGATAAGCTCAAATCTCTAATGTTGGCTCACCAAAATTGTGGCAAGCAGTCATAAACTCAGTTGCTTCTGCAATACTTGGATATAATATGAGCCCAAATGAAACCCTGTTAAAAGGTTTTATGCTCTTCTGTTCCCAAGCATTGAAGCCTGGATCTACCTTTTTAAATCTCAAATTTTACATTTCCCAAAATAGAAGAATTTTAAATAAATGGACAAACACACATATCTATTTGTGTGTGTGTTTGTATGTGTATTTAGCATGAAATAGCATATCAAGTTGACATCTGTCCCTCTCTATTGGAAACCTGAAAATAAATATATTTAAAGCATTCAAGGTAATCATCTATGGAGCCTTGGTATTTAGGAACCAAAATTGGATCCAGACTATTTTTCCAATTGATTTAATAAGGATGCCCTTTCAAGTTAAAAGTCCCAGCAGCACTTTTGTCATTCTCATTTAGAAAGTTTGTATTTGTCTGCTGTGCATGTTAAGGAGAATAAATCTTCCTCACTCAGAGATGGTTTACCTGGAACTCTTGCCTCTTCTGGCAGGTCATGACTCACCTCCGCGTGATTTACGAGCGCATGAACCAGTCTCTCTCCCTGCTCTACAATGTACCTGCAGTGGCCGAGGAGATTCAGGATGAAGTGGGTAAGTAGCTCTTCTTTTGCTGCTGAGCCTGTAGGAAAAAAGCAGAGACGTGAGTTCTTCATCTGGAATCACTGTTTTTCTACTTTGTGGAAGGAAGGAGAGCAGATCCCCTTTAACAGTGAAACTCTTGGGTTTGCTGCTAGCTCCCGCCATAGTCGCCACCTCAGTTCTTAACTATCTCTACTTAGAAGAGAGAAGAAATGTGACTTGACTTACGACGTATTTGTATAATTTCCAGGCACTCATTACTGGATTTCACTTGTCAGCAATTTCTAATTTAATCAGTCCTGGAAGTATCACCTTGAGATACTTTGGTGCTTTACAGTTTAATAAAAGCAAGCTGTTCTTCATCTTTTAGTTCTATATTGCCAGAACCTTCTGAGGAGCATGACAGCCTCACTTTACAGATGAGGGAGCACAAACTTCCAATATAATTTCCTTGCTGGATGCCGCACTGTCCTAAATAGCACACAGCAAAAGCACAAAACAGACTTTGGGGTTAGCGCTCTATCAGTAACTCACAGCTATTTTTGATCCTCCACCCCCACTAATTGCCCTGAGTATTTTCTGACCATTATGTTGTTTAAACTAAATTGAAATATGGGCCCTCTATTTTTTATTACACTATCATTTCAGAATGGCCATCTCCTCACCCAAATTAGAGAAATATCGCAGAGGCCCAGCATACCCACCAGCCACTCATCCCATCAGTGGCATCTTGCATAACCCCCAGAGATTATCAACCCCAGGAAACTGACATGGTGTGCCCCTATTATTTTTATTTTATGTAAGTTCTCCCATTTCTGTTTTTCTTGGAAAGGGAATAAAGTATCTTATAATTCCCTGCAACCCCACACACACATTCACGCCCACATTTGTTTAACTTCACTCACAGAAGCACGGAGGTGGCAGGCTAGTGAATCTTTCCACATGAAGGAATGTATGGATGCTGGAGATTTGGTGCAGAGACTGAGCAAATCAGCAATGTGCAGGTGGCACATCCTTTCTTAATGAATCCACCCTTTGTTCACTGGGATGGAAGTAGATGTAGTTTATCTGAAAGGAAAACACCCAGGATTTGTAGGTGAAACAGGAATTCCTCCTTTGAAGTGCCCGAAATACAACTTGGCTGGCTTTTCCCTCTTGTCCCAGTGCTGTTTGATTTTTTCTTTTCTAACTTAATGCAGCCTTGTCAGTGTTGCTTTTACTGTGTCAGGTAATGATGGTCTGTTCAGTACTGTGCATTAATAGATAAAATCAAATATACTTCAGGCTCCAGGCTTGGAAAAGAAACTAATACATCCTCTAAGCTTTTGTTCAAGAGGGAGAACTGATGTTGAGGGAGATCTTAGAAGTATAATCAATATAGAGTTTTTGGTGGACACCATGAATCGAAGACATTGATTATTTTTTATTTTAATTAATTTTTGACTATTAAGTTTTCTATTTTGTAATTCCTTTTTTTGCTATTGAGACCAAGGTTAGTTTATAGCACCGTATATGATTTAAAGGCATCGGTTCACATCTTTTCAGAGATATGTTAATCATACCACACCCACCTCCGAAACACCCATAATCTTCTACCACTGACCATTGAACCCTCTTCCCCCCTTTGCTCCCCATTCCAACCGCTCCCCCATAGATTGAGTTCTGCAGTCAGAGTTCTGGGGTATTTTTGGTTAATTTTGTCTGTTCCTTTGTGTTTCTCCATTACCTGCAGATGACTGAAATCATCCAGTATTCATCTTTCTCCTGCTTTATTTTACTCAGCATAATTCCCCCCAGTTCCATCAATTAAATTTCTTTAAGAAATGCATGTACTCTTGGGTATATTTTTAGGGCCGAAGTAAGGATATTTTAAAATACACTAAAAAAAACCCACTAAAAAAAAAATAAAATACACTAAAAAAGTATACCATCCAATAAGCTGTAGAAGGGACAAAATCAAAGAAATCATCTTCTAGGTGAATGTATTTCTGCCTTATAACTGTCTTAACAAGCTTATTTTCTTATATGCTTTCAATTAAGGGATTATCATAATACCAAACAAAAGAGGAATAAGCCATTGCAAAAGACTAGAAAGCTAACAATATTTCACTCTCACCCGGTAATTATTTATGACTGTTCCTAATTAAATTATTAGAACTTCTTATTCAACAATATACTACTGACAATAGTGACCATGGATGAGTCACACATTCACAGAACAGATGGTGGTTCTGATAACTGGAGTATTGCAGAATGCCCTAGAATAGAGCAAACGGTAAACCTCAAATCTCAGTTTGAGGGGTTGATTTAATTATTAGAATCAGGGACTTTTTCTTAGAAAAAAGGAAAAGCCCCCCCTCCCCGTTAATTGGATTAAGAGTATGTTATTTTGAAGAACATTTTTGCCGTTCTGTTTACTATGGATAGATACCAAATCCTGAAAGACAATCTTTTAAAAAAAATCTTTCTTGCCTCCATTTTTAAATGGCTATTTCCTGTAGCAAGAGCTTGCGTTAATGAACTTCTATTAATTAGACAAGTGTCCCATTTCAGTTCCCAACACCAAAGCTAAGACGAGAGCTCACTGGGGAGAGTGGCTTTTTTGGATTGAGCTTAGTTGTCTTCTATAATTATTCTTCATTTGAAGGAACATTTAAAAATAACTTACTTTCACTGCAGGGATACAGAGGAAACACGATTGGCCATGGGTGCTAATTGTTTGAGCTGAGTGGTATTTGGGAGTTTTTGTAGTAGTCTCTTGTATATATTAGGAATTTTCCATAATTAGAAATTGTTGGTTTTTTCAGCTCACTTTCCAAATAGAATCTTCACAGATTTCTTCCAGTTTATATCTCTCATGCTTTTTTGTAGTTTCTGATTAAATTTTTGTTAATAGTCTGATTTACAATTATCTGCCTTTTGTATATAATCAAACTTTAGATTTGGACTACATTCTAAGAATGCTTAAAGTTTGAGCCTCTGGTAAAAGGATAAGGTCTGAATTATGTACAAATGTGTGCCTTATATTTGAAAGTTTGTGCTTATAAATGCAGCCAATTAAAACATGTTTAAAGCAGTAAAACATCTGGAGAGAATTAAATAAAGGTAACAGATGTTGTTGAGATAAAGGACTTTCACTGGTATGAGGACCTGCATTGTTTTCAGTGGCACAGGTAGAACTGCTTCACTTCACTTATGCTCCCATTGGGGTAGAGTTCTCTGCTATGGATGCAAATGAGAAAGAAACCAACCACACTAGAAAGAAGGAAGAGAAAAGTGGAAATTGACATCAGATCTGTAAGAACATTATGTGTGACTGGCAAGAGCATGGAACTTATCATGCCCCTGAATTCCAGCCCTTTCCAACCATCTGTGGAATTCCACCTGTTTATGCTACTTTCCTATTAACTCCAATAAATCCCCAATCTATGAGCCTACGACACCCTAACCTCTGAGTTCCAGGGACATCTTCTACATTATCAGAATGTCCCACATGCTTCTTAAACTCCACTTGTTGTGTGGAAGGACATCATTGCATCCCATTTCAGTGAAGTGACATGTACTCATGTTATAATCACTACTGTGAGTTCTCTCAGCTGGCCTACACTTGGCCATGACACCTTCGTCTCCCTCGCCCATACTTTCCTACCAATCTCAAGTCCCATGTGGTCTGCCTCCTACATTGGCATGGAATGCCTTATCTATACACACTCATTGTCAACTCACATCCCCTCCTCTTTCATGAGTTTCCCTCTGGCCCCCTTCTACCCAATTTCTTCCTCTGCAGGACTGTTCAAGTTGCCTGATAAGATGTAAATAAAACCTGCATGTAGTTCTGCCTTGGTTGAAAAGTAGCATCCCTCCACACTCAATTACAGTTGATTCACTGCATAGAGAGCAAGATGTAAGAGCTGGTTTTTGAGTGACAGCCGTGTGACTGATGAGTGAGTGCCTGTTAGTGATGATGTTGCTGTCTAGGTTCTCCAGGAATGTTCATCCTTGAGGTCCAGGGCCACCACATACAGATGTGCAGGTGATTTAAGGAAAAACATGCAAACTAGCTTTCATTCCACATCCCACAGTGTCATGCCCTCTGGCATTATGGGCTTTTTATATAATGTAACCTTATGAACCCCTAACAGCACTGGCTAATTCAGTGACAGTGATGGCACCTTCAATTGACAATCCCAAGAGAGATGTCACTGGACTTGCCCATCACGTATAGTATAGTATAGTGATGAACGTGGGTTTGGAGCCAAGATCTGTCTGAATCCAAAATTCTTTCCCCCTCTGCTATGCACTCTCTCTCCAGGAAAATTTCCTTTTGTTTAATCTCTGTGTGTACAGCACTGTGTATCCACCTTTACATCGTGTTCTGCTTTGTATTTAATTACGTATTTACGTGTCCACCAAACACCCATCAGGGGAGCTCTTCTGGACCACATCAGGATCATTTCTGCATTGTTGGGCTCAGCAGATGTGGTGCTTCATAGATATTTGTCCTTGTGGACAAGTTTGAAGCAAATCCCCCAACTGCAAGATAGATGCTCCTTGAGTTGATCAGGTGAATTCCTCCACAACCCTAAACAACCACCCTGAGTACCTTCCTTAGCACCTAACATAGATAAACACAAAGCAAATCGCCTTCCTCCACTACAGCATTCTCTAAAGCTGTAATAAATCCAGCTGACAAAATGAGTACAGTTGACAAAGGCATCAAAATAAAGAATAAAGCAGAGTGCAAAGAACTGTAAGTCATACCATTTTCCTGTGTTGTCCTTTGTTATTTCCATAACAGTCTATTTGGTTATCTGCCCAACTCATATACTTTGACACTTAATTTCGTAAATATACCATCGAGTTTCTCCCATCAAGCACAATCTAAGGCTATTTATTTGTTTCACAAAGAAGTCTAAATTGTCTACACCGCCCTATTTGTTGTTTTATAAAAGGCTTGCCTTTTATTATTTTATAATAATTTTTCAGTTCTGTTTGAGTTACTATATGCCAAT